GTACACACAAGAGCAAATACAATTCTTCTAAAAAAACATGTTAGGAGATAACTACACATTTGAAAAATAATGTTTGGAATCATCAAAATTTCATAAGTTGCAAAAATGTAAAGCATGCAAATAGCAACTATGTAAACAAGAAGCAGTTATTCAAATAGCCGTACAGAATTCAAACAGTCATACAAAAATTATATAGTCCACAAAATACAGATACTTGATCAAATAGAAATCACATCACTGATACAGAAAAATAGAATTCACTTCATGTAACAGAATATTAAAGTCAGATTTCATAGAACAGATAGAATCGTACAGAACAAACATAATCATACAGAACAAACAGAATCGTACTGAACAAACAGAATCGTACTGAACATATTTCAAATCAGATAAAATCACATTTCAAATATCATTTCACATATCACATATCCCTGACCCTGACAGAATCTCGACGGATTCTGGCCCCTTATGCCTCCCTTCCCTGACACTGATAGAGTCTATACGGATTTTGGCCCCTTATGTCTCCCTTTGTGCTTATAGCACCAGAACATAACAGATATGTAGAAATTTCAGAACAGAACTTGTTTTCCTTTCAAATTTTCCTGACACATACATAATCTGAAAGGATTCTGGCCCCTTATAACTCCCTTCTGATAGCACATCACATTAGAACATTCAATTCAGAAAATCAGATTTCGTTAGAAAAATCGTCAGCGGTATAACGACAGTATACAGAATTTATACAAAATTCACAGATTCAAAAATTTATTAAATTATCACAGTTAGTACACAACATCATTCTAAGACTTTCATTGTACTAAAGCAATATTTTTCAACATCCCGATAATTCACAATTCAATCAAAATGCCGTAGAATTCAAAATATTATGTAAAAATCTTCCAGAAAATACTCAAAACGTGCACAATTATCATCTCAGAAACATACCAAAAGTTACACGGTGAAAAGTTTATCAGTATAAAATGGAATCAATTATTCGTTAATGGAGACAAAATCCGAAACAGAAAAGTCGTCAAAATCCTCATTTCTGAAAATTGAGAAAGGCGGAATGTGCCTTACCTCGAGTCGGTCAACTTACTCAACTACAGCTACGGACAAAAATGGACAGAAGTCGCCCAAAAATCATTTTTTCTTCTTTTTCCTTCAGTTTTCTCTCTCCTGGACTTTTCTCTCTCTTCAAAAAGATCTCATGTCCATATATATCCAACCAGATCGTCCCGGACGATCCCAAATCGTCCCGGGACGATTTGTCCTCTAGACAAAATTCGTCCAGGTGAATTTATTATCATACTTGGATGACTTTCTCTTTGGAAAAATTTCGTATGGACGAACCTCATTTCGTCTAGGGGCGAAATTCTCTGTCCCCAAAACCTGTACAAACCTGTACCAACGTCCCCGGACGATCCAACTTCGTCTGGACGAACCTGGAAGGAAAATGACTTTCACAATCTCCCCAACTTCAAAAAAATATCGTCCTCGACATTTCCAAAATAAAATAGAGTCAAAACAGATGCGGATATAACTGTCTCATATCCGACTCCTTCTCCCAAGTCGCCTCTCATGCTGTTCTATGCTTCCACTGAACTTTAACCATCAGAATCTATTTATTTCTTAACTTGCGAACATCATAAGCCAAAATCTGTTTAGGCTCTTCCTTGTACTGCAGATTCTCCTGAATCTCCACATCATAAGCAGATAGTTTCTTTTCAGAATCAGACATCCACTTTCTCAAAGAAGATACGTGAAAAATATTATGTATATCGGACATTTGATCAGGCAATAATAATCTATAAGCAGACTTTCCAATCCTTTCAATGATCTCAAAAGGTCCGACATACCTTGGACTAAGCTTACATACTCTTCCAAATCTATTGACGCCTTTTATCGGACTAACTTTGACATAGACAAAGTCACCAACCTGAAATTCTACAAACTTGTCCTTCTGAATGTAATACCTTTGTTGCCTGTCATGTGCAGCTTTCAATCTTTCTTTAATCATATTTATTTTCTTAACAGTTTCATCTATAAAAGTTGAACCCATTTCTTGTCTATCTCCCACTTCAGTCAGAGTTAAAGGTGTTCTACACTTTCGGCCATATAAAGCTTTGTAAGGTGTTATACCAATACTTGACTGATAACTGTTATTATAAGCAAATTCTATCAGTGGGATATGATCTTCCTAACTGCCTCCAAAATCCAAAACACATAACCTCAGTAGATCTTCCAGTACCTGAATAGTCCTCTAATACCATCCATCAGTCTGCGGATGAAAAGCAGTACTGAAATGCAACTTCGTACCCAAACCTTGCTGAATACCCTTCCAAAGTCTAGAAGTAAACCGTCAATCTCGATTAGATACAATCACTTTTGGCACACCGTACAATCTGACAATTTCTTTCACATATACCTGAGCTAACTTATCCATCGGATCCATCTGTTTGATCAAAAGAAAATGTACAGACTTTGTTAATCGATTGACAAGCACCCAAATAATATCATGTCCTTGCCTTGATCGAGGAAAACCCATAGCAAAATCCATCGTTACCTCCTCCCACTTTCACTCAAGGATAGGCAACGACTGCAAAAGACCTCCTGGTCTCTGATGCTCTGCCTTCACCAATTGACAGGCTTCGCATTTCAAAACAAACTTCGCTATATCCATTTTCATTCCAGGCCACCAAAATAACATTTTCATATCTCCATACATCTTACCACTTCCTAGATAAATGGTATAGCCTGAATAGTGAGATTCGTAAAGAATTTCTTCCCTCAGATCTCTAGACATAGGAATCCACAACCTATTATTACAGAAAATAACACCAGAATCAGAAATTTGTAATTAAGGTTTCTTACCAGATTCAATCTGATCAATCAACTTCAAATAGTCAACGTCTGACTTCTGAGCTTAATAGATCCTTTCTTCCAAAGAAGATTGAATGTCCTTCTGAGTCAACACACTAGAATCCAGACCAGTAGAGGAAATCATCTCCAACTATAATCTTTTTATATCTCGTATCAGATACTCATCAGAAGTAAGGTGAATACCTAATAATCCAGAAGACTTCCTGCTCAGAGCGTCTGCTACCACATTAGCCTTACTAGGGTAATACTGAATCGTCAGATCATAGTCCTTGATCAATTCAAGACATCTTCTTTGCCTCAAGTTCAGATCCTTCTAAGTGAAGATATACTTCAAACTCTTATGATCTATAAATATCTCACGCCTGACGCCATATAAGTAGTGACATCAAATCTTCAAAGCAAATACAACTATAGCAAATTCCAAATCATGCGTCGGATAATTCTTTTCATGTGGTTTCAACTATCTTGAAGCATAAGTAATTACCTGACCATGCTGCATCAGAACACAGCCCAAATCTTTTAGTGAAGCATCACTGAACACCTGAAATCCTTCCGTACATGACAGAAGTGCTAACACTGGAGCTGAAGTCAAACAATCGTTCAATCTCTGAAAACTAGCTTCACACTCCGGTGTCCAAATAAAAGCTACTGACTTCTGAGTTAGTCTCGTCCGAGGTGCAGAAATCTGAGAAAATCTCTTCACAAACTTTCTATAATAACCAGCCATGCCCAAGAAACTACGTACCTTGAATACCGTAGTAGGCATTGGCCAATTAGCAACTGCCTAAACTTTCTGAGGATCAACAGAAATACTTTCTCCGCTCACCACATGCCCCAGAAAAGAAATGCTCTTCAGTCAGAATTAACACTTGGAGAATTTAGTATACAATTGATGATGCTTAAAAGTCTCCAACACAGTTCTCAAATATCTAGCATTATCTTCTTCGGAAGCAGAATATACCAGAATATCGTCTATAAAGACAATCACGAACTGGTCCAAATACTCCTTGAACACTATATTCATCAGATCCATAAAAACAGCCGGTGCATTGGTTACCCCAAAAGGCATAACTAAGAACTCGTAGTGCCCGTACCGAGTACTGAAAGCTGTCTTCATCACATCAATTTCCTTTACCTTCACCTGATAGTATCCAGATCTCAAATAAATCTTGAAGAATACAGAAGATCCAGCCAGCTGATCAAACAAATCGTCAATTTGTGGCAATGAATACTTATTCTTAATTGTAACTTTATTCATATCTCTATAGTCAATGCACATCCGTAGTGTCCCATCCTTCTTCTTCACAAATAGAACAGGTACTCCCCAAGGAGGAACACTAGGACAGAAAAAATCCTTTATCCACCAACTCCTAGAGCTAAACTTTTAACTCCGAAAGTTCCTTCGGTGCCATCCTATATGGAGCCTTAGATATCAGAGCTATACCCAGAAATACATCAATACAGAACTCAACATCTCTATCAGAAGGAAAACTAACTAACTCCTCAAGAAATACATCTGAAAACTCTCGTACAATCGAGATATTGAAATAGAACCCGCATCAATATTCATATCCCGTACTGAGGCAAAAAACACCGCACAACCCTTCTTCCAAAATCTTCAACTTCAAACACAGAAATCAAACAGGACAAAATGCCTCTTAATCCTTGGAATACACATCTTTCACCATCATAAAATAAACTAACTTGTTTCTTCAAACAGTCAATCTGAGCCTCATACAGACTCAGCCAATCCATGCCCAAAATCACATCATACAAAGAAATCGGCAACAAAATCAAACACGACTTCCACTTCTTGCCAAAAATATTAATTTCATAAAAACAAAACTTTCGAGCAATCAAAATAATCCCAGCCGGCAAAAGAACAGAAAGAGAAAATGATAACGTCACAGAATCTAAATGCAAAATATCAAAACAGCGCTTGGACAAAAATGAGTGACTTACTCCAGAATCAAATAAAATACGATAGGTATGTTCAGAAATTTAAATCGTACCTGTCACTACATCCGGAGCATCTCGAGCCTCTTACTGATTCAAACTATATACACGTGGCTGAATTAGAGCTGAAACTACAAAACTATCAGACTCCCTCTGACTATCACTAGGTGGTATCCTCGCCACAGAACCCGAACCACCAGCTCTACTAGATGATCCTTCAAAAATAATACGTGGAGAAAATATCCTCGGCCTTCCTGCTGATCTGGAAAAACTATCAGATCTGGACTCGGATCGTCGATTAGATCTAGCTTGTGGACACTCTACAATCTGATGTTCTGGCTGACCACATCTTAAACACTGACCAATCATCCTGTAGCACTGGCCAAAATGTCTTCTTCCATAAGTCTGGCATACAGGTGCCCTAATAACTGATATAATAAGTAAAATTGCCACTACCAGAAATTGTAGTAAACATAGACTGTCCACTCCTCTTGGGGTCTCCAAATACAAATTTCTTCTTTCCAGAAAACCCACTGCCAGATGTATCACTACTAAACCTCTTCCTACTAGCAGTTCACCGCTATTGAGTAGCTATGTGATCATTCTCTATCAGACGAGCTCTCTCCATAAGCTTAGAGAAATCAGAAATGTGAAATAGTACCAGGGGCTGCCTCAGACTATCTCGTAGTCCTCTCAGAAGCCTGTAGCACTTCTCAGCAGAAGTACTCACCAGCTGTGGAGCATATCATGCCAAAGCAGTAAACTCTGCCTCATACTGCATAACTGTCCTGCTCCAACTGAACCAACCTCAAAAAAGTCTTCTGCATTTGTTGTATTGTAGAAGGAGGTACAAACTATGAAGAAAATACCTTAGAAAATTCTTCCCAAGTAATTAGAGAGTCCAGTTTACCTTGGAACTTTTTCTCTTGCTGTCCCATCCACTAGCGCTCAGCTTCACCATCTAACAAAAAAATAGCTAACGGTACCTTCCTATCCGAAGGACACTGCATACCATCAAAAGTCTTCTCTAACCTTCTTAATCAATCCTCAACTGCCCTGGGCTCAACAATGCCCTCAAACCTCGGAGGTTTCAATCTCAAAAACATTGTAGAGTCTCGCTCATCATCTGAGCAACCAATGTAGCAAACTGAGAAACTGTATCAAAACTAACCACTGGGGCTGTACTGTTCACAGGAGCTGCCTAATTAGCACTCTACCTATCAGTCATATCTGGGTCTGGCAGATCCATAATCACATAGAAAACTACGCACAAAAGTAACATAATAAAAATTCAAGACAAACCAAAACTACCCCGACAGACTTACAAATCAATTCATATAGCTCTATCTTACAATCCAAATTCCAAAACCATTGCTTTGATACCACTCTAAGATTTGTCACGACCCAACCTGACTGGAACGAATCCCTCACGTCAGGCCGCGATAAATGTTGAAAATCCAGGATCTAGTTTTGGAATTTGCTTCAGAACTTTTTTCCAAATATTCGAACAAATAGAAACATAGAGCTGCTATAAACTTCAAATTCATATAAAGAAATGCATGAAAGTGCTCTGATGGCACTAGAAAGTTCGTTAGGGATGTTAAACCCTATGAACCGGCCCAAGGCTAATTAAGAGATAGGTGTATTGGAAAGAAGAATCTTTAAATCAAAAATGCAAACAAAAACCAATATCACTATATAGAAACTAATGATACAAAAATTAAAATGTGGAAGCAATAATAAGAAAAGAACATACAAGATTTATAGTGGTTCGGTCAAACCTTGACCTACGTCCACTCTTTGGAGGCACCCTCCAAGTATTGCACTAAAACAAGTGTATCTCCTTTAGCCCCCATAGCTAGGCGGAGAAGCACTTACAAAATCACTTCCACCTTTCCCGGTGCGGCGGAGTCGTCGGGTCCTTCGACACCAAATAGATCTTCTTCTTTGGTGAACTTCCCTCAAGATAAGCCTTGAATTCGACGGTATTAAGGTGCAAGCCTACCAGAGCAACCGTGTGGAATCCCACTCCACACTCCCTTGAGTCCCCCTCACAGGACTTTTCCCTCTCTCAGACTTCACCCATTTCTCACTCCCTTTCGAGCTTTCTCTTCAAGTTTCCCCCACAAGAACGAAGCTACAATGGCTGCCAAAGACACTTACAAACTGCCTTATCATCTTTTAAATAGAAGGGCTCAAAACAAGCTCATTAATGCAAGTTGCAAACATTATCATCTAGGACGATAGGCATATCATCTTGACCGATTAGTTCAAATATGAGGAAAGTCGTCCTGAACATCGCCCTGAAATGAAGCTGGCTGATGTCCAATCGGTCCGGCTGATATGATCATGCAATTCACCATTAATTGCTTTCCTTAATTGCTAGAGAAATTTTGGAAAAATTGTCCTAGATCGTCCTGGCCGATATTTTATAATTCAGGCCGATGTCCAAAAATAAGTAATTCCTAAATAGATCTGGTGGCATAAACTTTCTAAATTTAGCCTATCATCTTGGCCGATACAAAATCGTCCAAGATGATGTGTTTTGCATAATGACGGATGCTTTAATGAGGATGCCCTAATTAGGGTTTCTTCTTTTGAACTGATCGTCCTGGATGATATAAAATTGTCCCGGATGATGTTACCAAAAACGATAAACTCTAGGGAATAGTCAGAAAATCTTCTAAGTTACAAACCATCAGGAGCCACACCAAATATAAT